GGCTCTCCCCTCCGCGGCGGGCAGCGTGGCCCTTCTGACCAGCAGCTCAGGGTGCTTCTGTAACAGGCGCGGGGTGTCTGCGGAGGTCCTAATGAGTCATGGAAGTGCGGGCATTGTCCTCTGGCTGCCGCGTGCGTTGCCCAGGAGACCAGCTCAGACAGAATAGGATGATTTTTTACAGGGACATAAACAGGAGAATGTTTTTAAAGGACATAACCCCTGGGCTCCTCTCAGAGAAACACCCTGCCCATTACTGTAAATATTTTATGGCCACACGCGCACTCTGACTCCTTCCCGCGGCCAGCGCCACAGCGGCGATGCGTTTCCATTTTGTTCCTGTGCGGATTGTGCCATTGGTCTGACAGGCAGACTGTGTCCGGGAGGACACACGCTTGCAGACAGAGCTCATGTGCAGACCGGAGGATTATTCGGAAATGTTTCCCAGCAAATTCACTTTGGCATGGGTCTTTAATTTCTGAAAACTTTGATATTCACAGGCCTTGGGGAGGGCGCCCTCCTCTTCGGGCTCTTCGTGATTTAAGCCCCTGCAGATACAGGTGCCCTCTTTTCCAGGGCCGACTCAACTGACACCATCATGGAAAATCCTTTTACCGGGACTAATCCCACCAGATAGAGAAATGTGCTGTCCCTGATGGGGCCTCGTGGCATCGGAGAGATTTGGTTATTAAGCTCCACGCCCGAGCCTGGCTCTGTGGGCTGACTTTTAAAGTCCTTATTTGGCGGCTGGAGCCTAAGGAAACTTCTCCTCCCGTGTGCTCAAATAAAGGGCAGCAGCCGCCAGGGTGACGAGAGCGTGGAGGGGCTGGTCCGAGAGCGGAGGCCAATTATTTTCATTAGGGGATGAGCACGGACCCAGGGCACGAACACGACAGAAGACCACAGCCATCAGCGGCGGGAAGCAGCAGGCGGCTTTCCGGAGGGAACCTGGGGATCGTCCGGAAGCATCCACAGGAGTGGGGCCCACAGGCACCCCCTGCCCGGGGGGACATACCCGCGGTCTGAAATGGGGCCGCACAGCTGGGGACACGGAGACCGGAGGGGCCCGAGTGCGGGCTCAGGGCAGCCCCGGGGACGGCCGCGCTCAGGAATGATCTGGTTCACGTTCGCAGGATAATTCATCCGCTTGAGGAAGAACTTGAAAGGAGAGGGAATTGGTTGGGACAGGCAAATACTGCGTGTGACAGATAAACACGCATTAAACAATGACGGGATGACGACCTAATACACGTGCTGATGAGCCGCCTTCCCTGCGCGAGCCGGAGGAGCTCGAGAAGCAGCTCTCGCGCGCCTTCTCACAGGGGCCTGAGACCCTGCACTTCCCCACTTAGACCTGCGTGAACCCTGTGCTCGCTGATGGACGCGCCGGGGCTAGGCGTTCGGAGGCCCGGGTTCCTGCCGTGCAGGGTTGGTAAAGGAGCCACAGCACACGGCCCCTTAGCAGACTGGCGCCCGCCGCTGGACCGTGCGTTAGAAGAGACTTAATAATCATCCTTTCAACACTGCTTTACTGTTTTCTTTTGACTTGTGTTGACAAACCACTGAAATGGTCACTTTCACTGCAATTTCAAAATGAGCAGAAATTTTGCCAAAGGAGGCTCCTCCCGTCGACCCAGCCGAGCGCTAGTCACTCAGCGTCCTCAGAAGCCTAATCCCACCCGACCCCCCTTCTGAGGCACAGACAGCAAACCGGCCGCTCCTGCGGCCACGTCGGCCTGTAGCTGTGAGTCTGGCCTGTCTTGTGTTTCAAAACATAATGACTTCATCCCCAACATTTCAGACCTGTGAGACTGCATGTAAAGAGCTGGGTTTTAAAATTTTTTTAATTAATTTTCTTTTTTTTTTTGCAAGGGGGGGTAATTAGGTTTATTTACTTATTTATTTTTAACGGAGGTGCTGAGGGTTGAACCCAGGACGTCGTGCCTGCTAAGCGCATGCTCTACCACTGAGCTCTACCCTTCCTCCAAAAACACTAGATTGTCTAATTCGTTTGAAACACAGGACAACCTGGCAATTCTGAATAACATACTAGCGTGGGGGAAAAGAAGGCAAATAATTAAATCAATTGCATTATTATCAATTCAACATCATTACACTTAATAATGCATGTCCTTGGTAAAAACTTAGAGGAGAAGGATTTACAGTGCACAGCAGACCCTGCTCCCCACCCGTAAAATTCCTGTCCATGCTTCCACCAAAATGCAACCACTGATACTGGTGTCTTGTGTGCACACATCACGGCCAGAGGTGCAAGGCCACCCACAGTCGCCTTTTCACTCTAGTTTGCCACAGTCCCCACCCCCCCAGAGACGCGGGCCTGACAACTGGCCCGCGTCTCTTGATTACAGCTGGGCGCCCACAGACATGTGAGTGTGTGACCTCTGCGAACAGACACTTGGCTCTTTATGAAGACAGAGTGAGGCCGGCCAGCCACTGGCCACTTGCCTGAGGATGTACCCCCGCAGCACCCCGTTGTGCTCTGTTTCCGGGGGCGGCTGCCACTGGACCATGATGGACTGATTGGTGCGCCCACTGGCCACGATATTTTTTGGGGGAGCACTGGGTGGTTCTTCAGGTAGCATCAACCTAAATAGAAAAGACGGGGAGGGGACGAGAGATCAGCCCAGAAGCAAAGGCTCCTTGTCTGCCTTCTCCACCTGGCTGAACCTTGAGCCATTCACCCAAATTGAGTGACGAATAAAACAAAACACCCAGCCGGTCGGACTGAAGGGACAGGCATGACACAGTCACAGCAAATCCACATGGCAGGGAATCAGTCCCGCCAGGAAGACAAGGAGTGACCCCTCTCCGTGGGGACAGCCCACGGGGAGCACCATCCCAGGGGATCACCAGCCTGAGCGAGCTGGCTCACGGCTGGAGTCCGAACCTCCTTCCAAACTGTCTTCTTTGGCTCTTTCAGTATTTCCCATCTCAAACTCCCCAGTGTGAACAAAGCATCCGGCTCTCTCAGCCAGCCTACAGTTCGAGCCCCAGGAGAGCTCAGGTTGGTGGGGGTGGGCACTTCCCCAGGGCACATCTGAATGGCAGCTACCCGCTCGGGGTGGGGTAGGGGCGGTGGGGCATCGGGACCACCCGGGAGACATGGGAACTCACTCTGCGTCCCTCCTGACACCCTGCTAGGTGTTAACCAGGACCCACCCTGTGGGCGGTCAGGGAGCGTGAAGGGCACGGCACCGTGGCAAGCTCCTAACTGCAGGTGCACAGAGGGCTGTGCTATCGGGAGCGATCTGTGTCGGCTGGGCCGGGGCACCCCGGGGGCGGAGAAACTGCCCTCAGCAATGAAGGGCGCCCGGCGACCCCTTGCGCTTTCTCTCTGTTACATCTTTCCCGCTCATGGCTCCCAACATCACGAAGGGACAGAGGCTGACACTCTCATCGGCCCCCTCCACTGAACCTGATGCTGGGTCTCGCCCCCGGTGCCCGTGCAGTGGGCCGCGGGTCCACGCACCTGCTGGTCTCGGCGCTGTACTGGCCTTTGCCCACGTGGTTCACGGCGCACACTCTGAACTGGTAGGTGCGGGCCGGGGTCAGGCCACGCACGGTGACGCCTGTCATCTCGGGGCTGACGTTTGACAGATGCACTTTCCACGGAGAGTCTGAAAGAAGGAGCAACACAAGTCAAACCCCTGCAAGCAAGTGGATGGTAAGAAGTAAGTGCAAATGCG